CCCCCCTTTTCCTTAGCTGTGCTACTCCCTTTTATTCTATTGGCTTTTGAAAGCCAATAGAATAGACTCTCTTGAATAGAGTCTAATTCTACTGACTTTCAAAAGCCAATAGGAATTGTCCAGGCTGTCTCTGCCCTGCTGAGCCCGCCAAAAGTCCCATTCTGCAAACGGTGCTGTACCAGTTGAGTAGTCCTCGACTTACGACCGGTTGAGTAGTCCTCGACTTACGACCGGTTGGGGATCGCGGCATTAAAAAGATTGAGAACCACTGTTCTAGAGAAAAGAAGAAACTGGGGAGACACAATAGCAGTATTCCAGTATTTCAGGGGCTGCCATAACGAAGAGGGGGTCACATTATTCTCCAAAGCACCAGCGGGAAGAACAAGAAACAATGGTTGGAAACTGACCAAGGAGAAAAGCAACCTGGAATTAAGGAGAAACTTCCTGACAGTGAGGACAATTAACCAGTGGAACTACTTGCCTCCAGAAATCGTGGGCACTTGGATTTAAGAAGAGACTGGACAGCCACATGTCTGAGATGGTATTGGTTCTCCTCCTTAAGCAGGGGGCTGGACTAGAAGACCTCCAAGGTCCCTTCCAGCTCTATTCTATTCTATTCTGAACCCAAACCAAATATACCTTTACAGAATACAGAATAGCAAAATTCATCCTCAGTTCTGGGTTGCTTCTCTCTCTTTGATAAGCTTCCATCCATTTCTTCCTATCCTGCCCTCAGGTGTTTTGGAGAATAGGTTGACCTTCTTCTTTGTGGCAGCTTCTTCAAAACCTCCCATGATGGAGCACCCACAACTTCTGGAAGCAAGCTGTTCCCCTGATTAATTGTTCTCACTGTCAGGAAATTTCTCCTTAGTTTCAGGTTGCTTCTCCACTTGATTAATTTCCATCCGTTGCTTCTTGTTCTGCCTTCAGGTGCTTTGGAGAATAGCTCAACCCCCCTCTTCTTTGTGGCACCCCCTCAAATATTGGAAGACTGCTATCATGTCACCCTTCCTAGTCCTTTTTTCTTCTGATGAAGTTCACAAATCGATTGTCCTCCCAATCTGAAAGCAGGTCACAGGTCTGAAATACAAAAAAATAAAATTGCAATGCTTCCAGTCTATCTGTTTTTGCCATTTCGGAAAACAGTTTTAGTAAGCTTGAAAACAACACCACCAAATCTTGAAGACCTTCAGATCAGACGGAAACGAGGCAGAGGAAAAAATAAAAAAAAAAAAAGCAGGTGGGGATGTGGGGACATATGGGAAGAAGCTTCTTCACCAACTAATTTGAATCCTGAACTTCTTAATTACAAAGCCGCCAGCTTTGTTTCGAAGAAACGAAAGCCCACATTTGGAGCAGAAGAGGAAGCAAATAAATATCTCTCAACATTTCACGGGGGAATTTCCACGATTGCTCGGAAGATCTGCGTCTCAGCTGTACAGATTGTTTATGACATTTTAAATCCTGAAAACAAAATGCTGATGGTTTTTTGTGCTTGTTTTAATTGTATCATGGTATCAAAATTGTTTATTTTCCCGCTGTCTCGCGAGCCGTGGTAATAGTTCTTACTCAGCGGAGCAGCAATTGTCCCAATTTTGCTGTCTTTGGTTTAATGATATGTTGTATTAATTTTGAAGGAGGCAATTTTTTTTTGCTATTCATAAAATTGAATGCATTAGGAATTAGTTGTGCTTTTTCTCACTGATTACTTCCTCTGCAGCCGAAAGGGTTACCGAAAATCCTATTTTGGAATCAAAATTGGATTATATTTTAGGAACAGCTGCATCCTAAACTAAAGTTGCTCACTGTTAGGTTTTGTTCTCCGATATTGCTGAGATTATCGCTCTTCTCGGAATAAAATGTACTCTGTGCACGCTTAGAAGTTGCAGCAGTCCAGCTGCAAACTCTCTCTGATGTTCTTCAGTTTAATCTTTAAAAAAAAAGATTCTCTTTGTATTTAGTTTGCAGAGATGCAACTTCTCCTTAAAAACAGGAAGAGGGGATGAAGCTTTCTCTAGAAATCTAGGGAGATTCTCATTCATCCAGGTCATGGTTGTCCCCAAAGTGCTTTTTCAAAAGGCCACTGGACTTGTTTATTTTTTCTTTGAAGACGTTTTGCTTCTCATCCAAGAAGCTTCTTCAGTTCTGACTGAATGGTGGAGGATGGAAGGATTTTTAATCCCTTGCAGTCATCTGGGCATTTGCACTCTGTCTGAGAGTCATTGAGGACACTTAAGAGGTTCCTTCTGTGCCTTCAGGATCATCCAAGTAGTGCAAATGAGAGTGAAACACTTGTCAGCACTTCCAAGCAGGCTCCACACTCATTTGCACTATTGAGGTGACCCTGAGAGCATGTAGATGAACCTCCAAGTGGCCTCAACGATCCTCAGAGAGAGTACTAATGACCAGATGACTGCAAGGCATAGAAACCTTTCCGTTCCAAATTCTGCAGGGTTTTAAAAGGCCAGATAACTTTAGTAAGCAGACTAAAAAGCCTACAGAAATATTTTGGGTGGCTGATAACCTGGGGCCATCTTTCCCCAGTTGTATTTGAAGGACCATCTTTTCCCAGTTGTATCTACTTGATCCACCAGAGCTGGGAGTTGTATTTGCCTGATCCACCAGACCACAGAGGCAGGGCAGGTTCCAGGTCATCTCTATTAAAGAGGTCCATCTGGTAGGACCAAGAAGAAGGACCTTGATGGTGAAGGTTCGTTCTCTGAGCTTGTGGATTAGTAATAGTAATAGTAGTAAAGTTGGAAGGGACCTTGGAGGTCATCTAGTCCAACCCCCTGCTCAGGCAGGAAACCCTACACCATTTCGGACAAATGGCTGTCCAGTCTCTTCTTAAAAACTTCCAGTGTTGGGGCATTTACTGCTTCTGGAGGCAGGTTGTTCCACTGACTAATTGTTCTCACTGTCAGGAAATTTCTCCTTAGTTTTAGGTTGCTTCTCTCCTTGGTTAATTTCCACCCGTTGCTTCTTGTCCTGCCTTCAGGTGCTTTGGAAAATAGCTTGATTCCCTCTTCTTTATGGCAGCCCCTGAGATATTGGAATACTGCTATCATGTTCCCCCCTTGTCCTTCTCTTCATTAAAATAGACATACCCAATTCTAGCAACTGCTCCTTATATGTTTTAGCCTCCAGTCCCCTAATCATCTTTGTTGCTCTTCTCTGCACTCTTCCTAGAGTCTCAACATCTTTTTTACATCGTGGTGACCAAAACTGGATGCCGTATTCCAAGTGTGGCCTTACCAAGGCATTGTAGAGTGGTATTAATACTTCACGTGATCTTGATTCTATCCCTTTTTTAATGTAGCCTAGCACTGTGTTGGCCTTTTTGGCAGCTGCAGCACACTGCTGGCTCATATTTAGGTGACTATCTACTAGGACTCCGAGGTCCCTCTCACAGTTACTACATTTGGTTTCCAAATGTTTCATTACAAGGCTAGATAACATCTTCATTAGAGTTTAGGAGATGTCTGTGTTGGTGTTCTTCTGTTTATAAGGGCTTCAGGTGTGGGTGTGTAAAGTGATGGGTCAGGTGTGAGTCATCAGTGAGAGGCTTGTGATGGGTCTTGTGATGGGGAGGGTCTGGGTCGTTGGGAGTCGAAGTACTGGTGGGAGGGGGGCCTGCGCAGGATGGTTGAGGGCCGGTGCTGTCTCTGGCTGGCTATGTGGTTGATTTGGATCCTGAGGGGTCTGTAGGCTAATTGTAGGACAAAGTGTCTGTTGATGAAATTGCTTGTGGAGTGCCAAGCTTTGAGGAATTCACAAGCCTGGCGGGTGGTAGGATGGCCAATGATTTTCGAGTTGCTCCAATGAAACTGGTGTTGGTGTGGGTAGAGATTAAGGATTTGGGATGGTGGCATTGGACTGCCAGCCAATGTTTGAGGATCCTGGTTTTTAATTGACATTTTGTATGTCCCACGTAGAATTGCTTGCAATCGTTAACAGTTTTATTTTGTAGGTGACCTTGTTTCTTTCATCCTTCTGTATCTTGTCTTTGGATAATTCCAGAAGAAAGATCATTTCTGTGAGTGGCTCCCTGTCTGTGGAACAGCATCCTTGGTGTTGGTGTGGGTAGAGATTAAGGATTTGGGATGGTGGCATTTGACTGCCAGCCGATGTTCGCGGATCCTGGTTTTTAATTGACGTGATGTATGTCCCATGTAGAATTGGTTGCAGTGGTTACAGTTGATTTTGTAGGTGACATTGTTTCTTTCATCCTTCTGTATCTTTTTTTTTTTGGTCCTGGATAATTCCAAAAGAAAGATCTTCTCTGTGGTGGCTCCCTGTCTGTGGAACAGCATCCTTGCAGAGATCAGATTGACCTCCAATTCGACACTCTTTGAAAAGGCCCTGAAGACCTGGTTTTGCCAGGTGGACCTGGAGAGTTCAGAGTGATATGGAGCCCATCAAGCGGTTGGTTCATTGTCCCTAGGAGAACTTTCTTTACACTGAGAAAAATTAATCAGTGGAGTAGCTTGCCTCCAGAAATTGTGGGTGCTCCATCACTGAAGGGGGTGGGACTAGAAGATGTGCAAGGTCCTTTCAACCTGATTATTCTATGTTTTATATTCTGTAATGTTAATGGTTGAATCTAAACTGTCTGCATTCAGTGTCCTCATTTTCAATTCTAATGAGACATACATGGCCTTCCATTTTTTTAAAAAAGTCAGCATGTGGATTATTTGAGTCCCGCTTTCTCACTGCATTTATCTGAAAAGAAAAGCAGACATGTCCCCTTCAATAAGTCCTCTTCATAATGGAGGTCACCTTAAATCAGGCATGGGAACATGTAATGGAGCCTTTATTGTTTGCCTCTGATCTTCCTTTCTGAAGTAGGTGCAGACCTCATCTTAACAAAGAGGGCCCCATCTTCTAGTAATGTGAATTTTTCCTTTCTTGTTTTGCGGAGAAGAGGATTCTTGCAAGGGTGTTCATCTAGATTCTTCTCTCTTTTTCCCCCTTTTCTTTTTTTCCCTTTTTACTTCTAGCTAATGTGCACTATAACTCCCGGAGTCAGTCTCTACGGTCGACAGATAACCGGAAAAGAGACGACATAGAAGACTTTCAGAAATACGGCTATCCTGCGCCACAGATAGGTACGTAGCCCAAATGTTAGAAAATGAAAATGTAAGAGACCAACAGTTCCATACATAAAGGCTCAGATTAGCCTTCCAGTTTGCTGCCGCGGGCACCACGGCTGTTGGAAGTCGAGCTCCGTCTTCCATGTCTGATTTTGCACCGCTGGGGAACCCTGGAAAGGGTCAAAAGTCGCCCTGTAGGGGCAACAAGCACAGAGGGGATCCCCACTTGATTGTGGGAGGGTGGTAGCCCTTCTGCTCGATCTAGGGCAGCCCTCCAAACTGGCGGATGAAACACCGGCCATAGAAATATGGCCTGTCACTAGGCTGCAGATTGCCGAAGTCAAACTTACCACCAGGCACCTATAAAGCAGCACGGATGAGACTTGGTGAGATCTGAACCTCTCTTCAATGCTAATTATTTTTCCCACCTGTATAAGCTGCCCAAAGTATTTTCCCCCCTGTGGAGAGAAGGAAGGGAAATTCTATTCCACCCTCTAAAAACAGTGGCGACTGACTATCCAGGGGAGTTTAAAACGCTGAAAGAATAACTTGATTCTGACTGGATTTTTATCTTTCTCAAATTTGAGGACAAAAAGATTTCTTAATCTTATTGAAGATTTGGGTTTTTACTTACAAAAAAGAAGTACAATTGAAAAAGGATTGTCAAATTAGCCTGATCTGATTTTCCTTAGGGTAGAAGAAACAAAAAGGAAAGATTAAACATTGAGAGGCCGTTTGGCCTCCAGATATTCACTTGTAAGCCATTATTGGTCTGTCTTAGACCAACATCCTTAACCTGGTTATAAAATTCACCCATAGGGGGGATTTGCTCAAGATTCGGATCCATCAATTAAGGAAACCAGTTGGGCATGAATAGCAATGTAAGTGTGCAGTCCTTGGTGCTTTTTGAGTTTGGCTGTTTCCTTTGTAGACATTTCATTACCCAACTAGGTCACAGCATCCGCATGGATGATGGTACCTAGTTGGGTCGTGAAACGTCTGCAAGAAAAGAACCAAGCTCAGAGGGCCCCAGGGACCCTCACAGTTCAATCCTGAGCTACAAATATGCTCTTCTACTGATAGTACAATAAGTGTCCTGTAGTATTCTCAGTTTGGCAGTTGACTACATAGCAATTGCTCAGGGGCAGTTGTTGGCACCAGGAGAGTCCTCCGCTTATAACAGTTCATCTAGTCCAGTGGTTCTCAACCTGTGGGTCGGGACCCCATTTGGGATCGAACGACTATTTCACGGGGGTCGCCAAACAACGCAGTCCGCCATTTTTTTCCCCCTTTTCCTTAGCTGTGCTACTCCCTTTTATTCTATTGGCTTTTGAAAGCCAATAGAATAGACTCTCTTGAATAGAGTCTAATTCTATTGGCTTTCAAAAACCAATAGGAATTGTCCATGCTGTCTCTGCCCTGCTGAGCCCGCCAAAACTCCCATTCTGCAAACGGTGCTGCACCAGTTGAGTAGTCCTCGACTTACGACCGGTTGAGTAGTCCTCGATTTACGACCGGTTGGGGGTCGCGGCATTAAAAAGGTTGAGAACCACTGATTTAGAGACTGTTCAAATTTACAATGGCACTGAAAAAAAAGGGACTTAAGACCCTCTCTCACACTTACAACCATTGCAACCTCCCCGCGGTCATGTGATTTATATTCAAATGCTTGACAACTGACTCATGTTTATGGTGCGAGTCGGTTGTCAAGCATTCAAATATAAATCACGTGACTGCGGGGAGGTTGCAATGGTCGTAAGTGTGAAAGAGGGTCATAAGTCACTCGCGTTTATGACATGAGTCACGTTGCAGTGTCTCTGAGATCGGGCAATCCCCTTTTGTGACCTTCTGACAAGCACTCAAGGGGGAAAACTAGATTCCCTTAGCAACCAAGTTGCTAATTTCACAGCTGCACCGGTTCAGTTACCAAATTTGTCAAGGAAAGATGTAAAACAGGGCGAAACTCATTTAACACATTTCAATCAATCCATCAGAATAGAGCTGGAAGGGACCTTGGAGGTCTTCTAGCCCAACCACCTGCTCAAGCAGGAGACTCTAGACCAGTGATTCTCAACCTTTTTAATGCCGTGACCCCCAACCGGTCATAAGCCGAGGACTATTCAACCGGTCGTAAGTCGAGGACTACTCAACTGGTGCAGCACCGTTTGCAGAATGGGACTTTTGGCGGGCTCAGCAGGGCAGAGACAGCATGGACAATTCCTATTGGCTTTGGAAAGCCAATAGAATTAGACTCTATTCAAGAGAGTCTATTCTATTGGCTTTCAAAAGCCAATAGAATAAAAGGGAGTAGCACAGCTAAGGAAAAGGGGGGAAAAATGGCGGACTGCGTTGTTTGGCGACCCCCGTGAAATGGTCGTTCGACCCCAAATGGGGTCCCGACCCACAGGTTGAGAACCACTGCTCTAGACTTTTCTTCACTTAGCAACATAAATTTTGGTCGTAGGATGAGGACAACCTGCACGGCATATATAGGGGGCTACTTGCACTGCATTGTCAAGAGCAAAACTCAGGTGCACAGGTGAAGGTTTCAAATTAACAGATGCATTGCTACACTGTGCACAGGAACCTTCTCAAATAAGGATCAGAACCTGGTTAGAGCTAGATCAGGGTTCTCCAATCCCTGGTCTGTGGACCAGTACTGGGTTGCGGCATGCCAGCAACCAGTCTGCACAAACAAGCAACGCCCTATCCACAGGATTCAGGCAACACACAAAACCACGCCCTCTTCGGGCCGTGGAAAAATCTCTCTCCATGGAACCAGCCCCTGGTGCCCAAAAGGTTGAGGACCTCTAAGCTAGAATACAGTCAAGGGTAACCAAGGGAGATGGAACTTTGTGAATGCATAAACCAGGGTCTCCAAACTTGGCAACTTGTGGGCTTCAATTCCCAGAATTCCTCAGCTAGCCAGTAAAGAAAACTCTTGGCTGCCATCTAGAAGAAATGCAGAACTTTGCAGCTTAAATGTGCTGCATTAGATCAATTAGCACATTCAATTAACCCAGATAAAGATAGGATGACTGGCTTAAACCCATGCAGCATTCTTGCTTTGTTTTAACCTCGGGATGCCCCCAAGGTGCTTTTTTCAAGAGGCAACTGGATTTTCTTTGTTTTTCTTTGAAGAGGTTTCGCTTCTCCTCCAAGAAGGTTCTTCCATTCTGAATTGAGAAGCCAAACCTGCTCAGCAATGTGGCTGCGTTTATGCTGGTTTGCAGTCATGTTTTATGAAACTTTGCTGAAAATCAGTATTTATTTCAGTTTGGGGCAAAACTGTGTCCTTAGCAAGCCGTTGGTTCACTTAATAACTGTGGATTTACTTAATGACAATGCAAAAAAGTTCGTAAAATCAGGTCATTCAGGTGACAGTTATTATTATGACATAACGACTGCAATGGGCAGACCCCATTGCAGTTGTTTCTTAAGGACTTACCTGCAATGGAATTCTCGCTTAATACATCCCCACTGAGTACCTGCATTATTTATATAGCTTGTATAATTGCCTACTTTTGACCTTGACAACTCAAACAAGGACATGCTCCCTGTTCCCATGGTCCCACCTAAGGTCAAAGAAGAAATGTTGGCTCCCCAAGAGAGAGCACAACTTGGAGAATCCATGCCATGTCCCTCTTGACCCCGTTTCCACCTCTCTCTAATGCAAAAACAAAATGGGTGGTCAACCTCAGGATAAGGTAGTTTCCTGTGTTCTACACCTTGACAGGTGATCCAGCGGCGGAAGAGTGGTCGCCCTGGAGCGTCTGTTCGACCACCTGTGGGGAGGGCTGGCAGACTAGGACTCGGTTCTGTGTATCGTATTCGTACAGCACCCAATGCAGTGGGCCCCTCCGCGAACAACGCCAATGCAACAATTCTGCAGTCTGTCCAGGTGATGACCTTCATGCACCACCCCTCATTCCTTTCCCCTTCTCTCTTCCAGACACGGGGCAGGGTGTGCTTCCAGCTGAAAGAGCTTCAGCATCAAATCAGATGGGGAACCACAGAATTCTGCAATCTGTATAAATAATGCACACTAAATGCAACACCTGAAATAGTTTTGCCTGTTGAGGTCTTGGTGTTCTCTGAGCTTGTATGTTGCATGAAGATGTTTCATGACCCAGCTAGGTAACATCACCAGTGCAACTGTTATCTAACGAGTTACAGAATAACAGAGTTGCAAGGAACGTTGGAGGATTTTCTCATCCGACTCCTTGCTCAAGCAGGAGACCTTAAACCATTCCAGATCGATGGCTGTCCAAACTCTTCTTGAAAACCTCCAATGATGGAGCACCCATAACTTCTGGAGGCAAGAAGTTTAATTGTATTAAACTTAATTGTAATACAATTAACTGATTAATTGTATTAAAAATTATCTTTCCTTCTAGCTTCAATCTCTCATTAAGCTTCCATCTCTTACTTCTTGTCTTGCCCTGAGGTTCTTTGGAGAATAGGTTGACCCCTTTCCTTTCTGGGACAACCCCTCAAGTATTGCAAGACTGCTATCATGTCACTCCTAGTCCTTCTCTTCATTAGACCAGAGGTTCCAAGTTCCCACAACCGTTCTTCCTAGGGTTTACTGCAGTGGTGGGCTTCAAATATGTGAACAACCAGATCTCTGTGTGGATGCCACTTCTGGAAGTCCATTCTGGGCCTGGGCAACAAAAAATTAGCTACCGGTTCTGCCGAAGTGGTGCGAACCGGCTGAATCCCACCACTGGTTTACTGATGAAGATAATGGTACTGATGATATTACCTAGTTGGGTAATGAAACATCTCCAACTCAACAAATAAGTTCAGTAAGAACCAAGAAGCCCACAATTCAACTCTTAGCTACAGATGTTCGCTTTTATTGGATAGTTTCCCCTCACTTGTGTTATTTCTGAAAGGGCTTCAGGGAACTTGGACTCCGTTCCAAATCGCAGTGGAAAGAAAAATATCACTTTGTGGTTCCTGCCTGCCTGAGCGATTTCACCCACAAGCATATGTTTTCAGTTGCAAAAATAATTCAGTGTGTGCTGTTGAAAAGGGCAAACCAGTAAGATGGTGGCAGTGGGATGTTAGCGAGCTAATCTGTTTTGTGTTCTCATTAAAATACCCAGTTGATTCTCATCTCCGAAATTATATATCTATGGAAACCTGGACTTGGGTCTTATCAACACTTCTTTAAAATCACATGAATGCTTAACAAGCCACAAAGACATCAGGTGTACCCTGCTATGGTTAGGCAAGGGATACAGATACTGTCAATTGTGTATCTTTTATGTGATGACACAAAGGACATGGTGCAACATTTGGATTCACATCTAGGAATGAATCCTGTTTAACTCCTGGGGTGAAATTCTGTCTCTGTGTTAGAGAAGACTTTTGTTTAGTTTAAGAAGTATCAGATCTGAGGGGTCTTCGATGGTCTCTGAGCTTGACTGTTTTCTTGCAGACGTCTCATGACCCAACTAGGTAACAGTGCTAGAAGGGAGAGGGGTAGGAAGAGGAGGAGGAGGAGGAGGAGGAGGAGGATGACTGTGGGGTCCTTAGTGGTCTCTGAGCTCAGTTGTTTTCCTGTAGATGTTTCATGACCCAACTAGATAACATCATCAGTGCTAGAAGGGAGAGGGGTTTGTGGAAAGGAGGAGGAGGAGGAGGAGGAGGAGGAGGAGGAGGAGGAGGAGCACCAGGAGGAGAAGGAGGAGGAGGACAACAACGACGACTGTGAGGTCCTTGATTCTCTCTGAACTTGGTGGTTTTCTTGCAGGTGTTTTATGACCCAACTAGGGGACATAATCAGTGCTAGATGGGAGTGGGGTGTGTGGGGGAAGAGGAGGAGGAGGAAGAGGAGGAGGAGGAGGAAGAAGAGGAGGAGGAGGAGGAGTGGGATTTCTTGTCTATTTATATACTGGTGGTTTGCCCTGTCAGTGTTGATGGGAGTGTTCTTGAGATGATAGAGCAAACCAGTTGTATTAAAACAGAGAAAAACCCCACTCCCTCCATCTGGAAGAAAATCACTAAGCTCAGAGAGCACCAAGAACCCCAGAGTCATTGTCGTCTTCCTCCTCCTCCTCCTCTTCACAAACTCCACTCCTTCCTTGCACTGATGGTGTTCCCTAGTTGGGTCATGAAACATCTGCAAGAAAACAACCAAGCTCAGAGAGCACCAAGAACCCCACAGTCTTCCTCCTCCTCCTCCTCCTCCTCCTCCTCCTCCCCTCCCCCTCCCCCTCCCCCTCCTCCTCTCCATAAACTCCACTCCCTTCAAGCACTGATGGTGTTCTCTAGTTGGGTCATGAAACGTCTGCAAGAAAACAACCAAGCTCAGAGAGCACCAAAACAGTCTTCCTCCTCCTCCTCTTCCTCTTCTTCCTCCTCCTCCTCCTCCTCCTCCTCTCCATAAACTCCACTCCCTTCAAGCACTGATGATGTTTCCTAGTTGGATCATGAAACCTCTGCCAGAAGCTCAGGGACCACCCAGGACCCCACAGCTCAACCCTAAGCTACGAATACTCTCCTGTATCAGAGCGACCCATCCTAATTTTCAACATCACCTTCTGGTGAACTTAGAATGCAACGAACAACAGAATGAATTGTAATTAATCAATTAAGCGATAAATGATCTGCTGAGGCAGGTGATTGACACAGGCAACACATGGGATCCCAAAGGAGCCTGTTTAGGAATTCTGATCTAGCCTAGTTGGATTAGGGATATAATCAAACCTGCCATCATGGGATGACTGAACCCCCAAAGAGACGGTTTTGAATTACAAATAGTCCTCGACTTACAACATTTGTTTAGTGACCGGTCGAGGTTAAAAATGCCACTGGGAAAAAAAATAGTGACTTATGACTATATTATACACAACCGTCGCAGCCTCCCCATGGTCACGTGATCAACGTTCAGAGGCTTGGCAACTGACTCGTACTTATGACAGTTGCAGCGTTCCGGGCAGCATGTGATCCCCTTTGGTGACGTTCTGACACGCAAAGTCAATGGGGGAAGCCAGATTCACTTAACCACTGGGTTAACAATCGCAGTAATTCACTTAACAAGAAAGGGGTCAAAACTCACTTAACAACTGTCTCACTTAGCAGTGGAAATTCTGGGCTCAATTTTGATCCTAAGATGAGCTCTACCTCTCTTTGGAATCCAACTCGGAGAATCCCAAAACATCTGAATGGCTTCTTTGGACCTCCCGTGTCCGGGAGGGAATATTTTTGTAAATCCTCCCGTTTGAAACCGAATTTCGAATGGTGAACGTAACAAGGGAGTAAATCCCTTCAGATCTGCAGCGAAGAATAGCCTTCTCCTTATTATATCATGCAGCGCTGACTCGATATGTTTACACCTCTTAATAACGGATGCTTTCATATTTTAACCGGCGTTTCTTCTCCTGGCATCTGTGCAAGGCGAACTCTTTGCACGTATTAAATACGAACAAGTGGGGCTGGTGCTAATAATGTTTCAACACAAATTTCAGGAATCTGAACCTCCTCGAACTACGTATTTAACTATGATTTGGGAGGAAAAGGCAAGCTCAAGCGGAATCAAAAAAGAGAACTCTTAGAATTGCAAATCGGCGCCAAAAGTACGGGTGAAAGTATTAGCTTTATTTGAGTGGAAATGTCTATGTGGGGCGTCCTTAGACTTGCAAATGAACGCAGAAATTACAGTTAAAATGTTCGCTGAATATGAATAATACGAAGGTCCTGGACTGCAAGTGTGTAGATTTGCTTATCCTCCAGTCAGAAAAGGGCAAAATTGTTTCCGCTAAAAAAGAAACTGCAATTTACTAAGGAGCTTATAAGTGGAAAATGGAAGCTTTTTTTTTTTTTTTTTCAGCTTCTCTGGAGTGTCCAGGGGCAAATTTTAATCAGGATTCGCCCTCTCTCCCACCCCCCATGTTGTCACTGCTCTACGCTGACCTAAAAATTTGTCTCCAGCTGTTTAATTTGCACAGAATAAATGGGGAAGGTAGAATGCAGAACAAAGAAGCTATAAAAAGACAGCCAGTTTGGTCTATGTACTGGTCTAGGAACCTGGCAGTTCTAGTCCCACCTTAGACATGAAAGCTTCCTGGATGACTTTGGGCCAATCACTAGGAGAGGGTGAGTTCTAGTTTGTCTTCCGCCTGAAAGCCAGCTGGGTGACTTTGGGCCAATCACCAGGAGACTGGGACTTCTAGCCCCTCATTAGACAGAAAAGCCGGCTGGGTGACTTTGGGCCAATCACCAGGAGACTGGGACTTCTAGCCCCTCATTAGACAGAAAAGCCGGCTGGGTTACTATGGGCCAATCACCAGGAGACTGGGACTTCTAGCCCCTCATTAGACAGAAAAGCCGGCTGGGTGATTTTGGGCCAATCACCAGGAGACTGGGACTTCTAGCCCCTCATTAGACAGAAAAGCCGGCTGGGTGACTTTGGGCTAATCACCAGGAGACTGGGACTTCTAGCCCCTCATTAGACAGAAAAGCCGGCTGGGTGACTTTGGGCCAATCACCAGGAGACTGGGACTTCTAGCCCCTCATTAGACAGAAAAGCCGGCTAGGTGACTTTGGGCCAATCACCAGGAGACTGGGACTTCTAGCCCCTCATTAAACAGAAAAGCCGGCTGGGTGATTTTGGGCCAATCACCAGGAGACTGGGACTTCTAGCCCCTCTTTAGACAGAAAAGCCGGCTGGGTGACTTTGGGCCAATCACCAGGAGACTGGGACTTCTAGCCCCTCATTAGACAGAAAAGCCGGCTGGGTGACTTTGGGCCAATCACCAGGAGACTGGAACTTCTAGCCCCTCATTAGACAGAAAAGCTGGCTGGGTGACTTTGGGCCAATCACCAACTGAGTTCTAGTCCTCCCTTAGGTACAAAAGCTGACTGGGTGACATTGTGACCCAGGAGAGGGTGAATTCTAGTTCCACCTGAGGCACAAAAGCCTACTGGGTGACTTTGGGGCAGTTCTTCTCTCTCAGTCCAACCCCAACTTCACAGGGTTGTTGTCGTGAATTAAATAGGAGGTGGAAAGAGACCCAGGTATGTTTAGTCTCTTGAGTTCCTGATAAAGAACAAGAAAGGTGGGGATGAACATCCAAGAAAGAAAGAAATCATAAATAAGTGATCAACAGTGAGCAGATACAGAGACTTCAGGAGTTGTGGTTGCTCCATCACTGGTGGTTTTTAAGAAGAGACTAGACAGTCACTTGTCTGAAATGGTATAGGTTCTCCTGCTTGAGCAGGGGGCTGGACTAGAAGACCTCCAAGGTCCCTTCCAGTTCTATTCTCTTCTGTTCTATTCTATTCTATTCTATTCTATTTCATCCATTCTACTCTACTCTACTCTATACTCTATTCTATTCTGTTCTGTTCTATTCTATTCTATTTCATCCATTCTACTCTACTCTACTCTACTCTACTCTACTCTGACTCTACGCTACCCTACCCTACCCTATCCTACCCTACCCTACCCTACTCTACCCTACCCTACCCTACCCTACTCTACTCTACTCTACTCTACTCTATTCTATTCTGTTCTGTTCTATTCTATTCTGTTTCATCCATTCTATTCTAGTCTATTCTATTTCATCCATTCTACTCTACTCTACTCTACTCTACTCTATTTCATCCATTCTACTCTACTCTACTACTATTTCTATTCTATTCTATTCTATTTCATCCATTCTACTCTACTCTGACTCTACTCTACTCTACTCTACTCTACTCTGTTCTATTCTATTCTATTCTGTTTCATCCATTTTACTCTACTCTACTCCTATTTCTATTTCTATTTCTATTTCTTTCATTACAGTCCACGGCACCTGGGACGAATGGTCCCCCTGGAGTCTCTGTTCATCAACCTGCGGACGGGGATACAGAGATCGCACCCGGATATGCAAACCCCCCCAGTTCGGAGGGAGCCCCTGCGAAGGTCCCGAGAAGCAAACCAAGTTCTGCAATATCGCTCTTTGCCCAGGTAATTTGGTAAAGAAACTTTCCCTCCCATTTCCCCCCCCCCCCAACATCCATGACCGATGGGGAATCGTGATTTTCTCTTTTTTTTGAAAAAAAAACCTGTTTTTTTCTGCTTCTGGAGATTGGAGAAAGGATAATGGCTTAATGAACGGGAATTTATACTGCCAAAAAATGCAGTCCTGGTGGGATGGTACAGGCAGGTAGTCCCCGGCTTATAACCATTCGTTTAGTGACCGTTCAAAGTTACAATGGCAGTGGGAAAAAAATTGGTTGTGACCACTTTTCACACTTAGGACCAGTGGTGGGATTCAGCCAGTTCACACCAGTTCGGTAGAACCGGTAGCTAAATTGTGTTGAGTTTGGAGAACCGGCTGCTTCTAGAAGTCTGTTCTAGGCCTCAGAGGCCTGGAGGAGGTCTCCCAGGCCTAGAACAGCCCACCGGCTGTTCACTTCCGGAAGTCCATTCTAGGTCTCGGAGGCCCAGGCCTGCATCCACGCAGAGAACCAGATATTCAGGTATTTGAATCCCACCACTACTTAGGACCGTTGCAGCATCCCTGTGGTCATGTGATCAAAATTTGGGCACTTGGCAACTGGTTCGTATTTATGATGGCTGCAGTGTACTGGGGTCCTGTGATCACCATTGGTGACTTTCCCAGCTGGCTTGTGATCAGCAAAGTCAATGGAGAATACAGATTCACTTAATAACCATATAATTCACTTAACAACATATCTATCTATCTATCTATCTATCTATCTATCTATCTATCTATCTATCTACCTACCTACCTACCTACCTACCTACCTACCTATTTATCTATCTATTATCTGTCTTTGTCTGTCTGTCTGTCTGTCTGCCTACCTCTCTCTCTCTCTTTATCTCTCTCTCTCTATCTATCTATCTATCTATCTATGTTTCTATCTATCTATCATCTATCATATCTCTCTATCTATCTATCTACATACCTATCTATCATCTCTATCATCTCTCTCATATCTCTATATATATATATCATCTCTATCATCTCTCTCTCTCATCTATTCTATCTATCTATATCTATCTATCTATCTATCTGTCATCTCTGTCATCTCTCTATCTATCTACATACCTATCTATCTCTATCATCTCTATCATCTCTCATATCTCTCTATATATCTCTCTCATCTCTCTCTCATCTATCTATCTATCTATCTATCTATCTATCTATCTATCTATCTATCTATCTGACCAGCAAAGTCAGTGATGGAAGTTGGATTCGCTTAACAACCATATGATTCACTTAACAACACACACACATAGATATATATCTATGTATATACTTCTTACACACGTTATATTTTTATGACCTATTTTATACCCGTTTTATTTGAATTTGTAAGTGCTTCTGCCACAGATAAAGAAGGAACTTAACAACTGCAGCAAGTCCTTGAACAATGGGGGCAAAGAAGCTCATCAAATCAGGCACAACTCACTTAAGAACAGTCTTGCTTAGCAATGGAAATTTTGGCCTTAGTTGTTGTCGTAAGTCAAGGATGACCACCTGTCTAGTTGAACCAAGAAAGTTCAACGTGGTATTTTTGTGGCACGGGAGCCCCAGAAAACACTGCACAAAAGTAAACATGGTGCAACTTTATATACAGCCATACAGAGTCATGTCCACTGCAAGGCGATCCAACCGGTCAGTCCTAGAGGAGATCAACCCTGACTGCTCTTTAGAAGGCCAGATCCTGAAGTTGAAACTCAAGTACTTTAGCCACCTAATGAGAAGGAAGGACTCACTGGAGAAGAGCCTAATGCTGGGAAAGATGGAGGGCAAGAGAAGAAGGGGACGACAGAGAATGAGGTGGCTGGATGGAGTCCCTGAAGCAAGAGACGTGAGCTTCAATGGACTCCAGGAGATGGTAGAGGACAGGAAGGCCTGGAGGAACGTTGTCCATGGGGTCGCGATGGGTCAGACACGACTTCACAACTAACAACAACAAGAGTCATGTCCGGGTGGAAATTTGCACAATCTTGGAATTAACATTAGTATTTTCTAGGAGTGAGGACTGGGGTCACAACAACAACAATGTGTAGCCCCCCTTTTGTTGAGTTGCATTCTCTAGCCATCCAATTTTTCCAAAGTTTGGATTTGGATAGTCCTTGACCTACCACCACTATTGAACCCAAAATTTCTGTCACTAAGCGAGACAGTTGTTAAATGAGTTTTGTCCTGTTTTATGATGTTTCTTGGCAGAGTTGTGAAGTGAATCAAGTGGTTTTTAAAGGAATCTGTCTTCCCCCATTGGCTTTGCTTGCCAGAAAGTCACAAAAGGGGATCACGTGACCCTGGGACACTGCAACTGTCATAAGTACAAGCCAATTGCCAAGTGTTTGAATTTTGATCACGTGACCACGGGGAGGCTGCATCGGCCATAAGTGTGAAAAACGGTCATAAGTCACCTTTTTGAGTGCTGTCGTAACTTGGAATGGTCAGTAAACAAATGATTGTAACAGCAATTATGCCTTCACATCACCGGGGAAAAATAAGTGGAAACAGCCCCAAAGGGAATGTGCTTTTAATGAATTGTAGATGGGGAGAAATAGCAATAAGATCTTCGGGCTTAATTAATATTTAAGGTTGATCTCCATATAACTGACCACCAGTTTCGGAGAGAGGAGAGATGGGATACAGGAATTTTAGTAGCCACAATGAGACGGAGGCATCGATGACACATTTTTTAATTCCCTGTTTTATTATCCCTGGCTGACCGGCCGTACTCAGCGTGTGGTCCTCAATAGAACCGCATCTACATGGAGGGAAGTGTGTAGTGGGGTGCCACAGGGCTCTGTTCTGAGCCCAATGCTCTTCAACATCTTCATCAATGATTTGGACGAGGGGATAGATGGGGAACTATCTATCTATTTGCAGACGGCACCAAGCTGGTAGGAATAGCCAACACTCCAGAAGACAGGCTTAGGATACAGGTGGATCTGGACAGACTTGAACACTGGGCGCTATCTAACAAAATGAAATTCAATGGTGAAAAAAGCAAGGTTCTACATTTAGGCAAGAAAAACCAAATGCACAGGTAGAGCATAGGGGGTACCTTGCTCAATAATAATAACTGTGAGAAGGATCTCGGAGTCCTAGTGGACAATCACTTAAATATGAGCCAGCAGTGTGCTGCAGCTGCCAAAAAGGCCAACACAGTGCTGGGCTGCATTAACAGAGGGATAGAATCAAGATCACGTGAAGTATTAATACACTTTATAAGGCCTTGGTAAGGCCACACTTGGAATACTGCATCCAGTTTTGGCCACCACAATATAAAAATGATGTTGAGACTCTGGAAAGAGTCCAGAGAAGAGCAACAAAGATGATTAGGGGACTGGAGGCTCAAACATATAAAGACAGTTGCAGGAATTGGCTAGGTCTAGTTTAATTACTCAAAACAATGACAATTCTCCAATGCGGCATTTATTTGCAGCTGGACAAGAGATCTGGAATGACTTCTTTAGGAAAAGAAAATGAAGGGAAGCTGGGAAAACATTGCTTAATTGCAGCAGGAACTCTGCTTAAATTCTGGCTGGCTGACGACTGTTTGATTTGGTGCAGTGAGGCGCCGATAATTAAACTGCTGGATCTTCGGAGTGAAAATCTTGGCAAACAACTGGGCACTGCTTTTAGAGTTTTATCACACACACACACACACACACACACACACACACACACACACACTTGGATGTTAATTAAAGAGAGAAATGCCAGCCATTTAACAAAGATGGTTTGTGTTCTGGGAAAGGTCAGGATACAGGGAGGACCGGAAAAAAATATATCTTCCCCACCCACCCACACAACCTAGTGGTTTTTTTTTTTTTTACTGGAGCAAACTGCATCGCTGGTGCGGGGTGTCCAGAGTATTCCCTCAAAATACTTGTTGCACTACAGGCGGTCCTCTTACAACTTACAAAGGTTTGTTTAGTGACCGTTCGAATGACTTACGGCCGTTTTTCACACTTAACAATCATTGCAAAATCTCTGTGGTCGCGCGATCAAAATTCAGACGCTTACCAACTGACTCGCATTTACGACGGTTGCAGTGTCCCGGGCTCATGTGATCCCTTTATTGCAAAATGCAGGCAAAAGTCACTTAACAACCGCCTGAGTTAGCAACAGACATTTTGGGCTCAGTTGTCGTTAAGTCGAGGACTTACCTGTACAAAGCAAAACGGTAAGTCATCCCCTCTGGGATGTCCGTTAAATCCTAATTTTAAACTTTGTGCACAGAATTGGGCCATACCATAAATACTTATAGATTGATGTATAGATTGATTTACGATCACAGTTTGGGCTCCACGTTTCCAGGGCTAAGCCAGGCAGTGGTTGCGAGTTGTTGCTCCATTGTGCGACCTGCTTTGTCCACTATCGTTAAATGAATCACGTCATGCTTATGCGAATCTGGCTTCTCCCATGGAGTTTGCGTGTCGGAAGCTGGTGGGGAAGGTTGCAAATGGGGATTGCATGGTCCCGAGATAGGGAAACCGTCAAGGGTACATGCTAGTTGCTGAGCACCCAGATTTTGATCACGTGACCATGGGAATGCTGCAACGGTTGTTAAGTGTGAAATGAGTCCCTCTTCTCAGTGCCCGTTGTAACTTTGAACAATCTCTAAACAAATGGTGGTTGAGTCAAGGAATATGTTATGGAATGAGAATGTGAACAAAACAAAGATAATGTAAGGAACGTGACCATTTTCCTCACTTCTAGAAGCTGAGTTTTCTACTAGAAATGACAGCTGGGGCGAAAACTGAATTATATTAGCAGAAGTCTAAAAAGAATCTCCCATAACTCAGCTGAGCGGTGTGTGTGTGTGTGTGTGTGTGTGTGTATGTATGTGCATACTTGTCTTTATTATGATGAAGCTATGAACAAAACAACTTTGTGAGAGTGGTGAATATCTGTAGCTCTGGTGGAGGATGAAGGTGGAGATTCGTTCTCTGAGCTGGTGGGTTGGTTTCCAAACATTTCGTTAGCAGGCTGGGTAACGTCCTCAGCGGAGTTGAGGAGAGGTCAGTGTTACAGGTGGTCTTCTGTTTACAAGGACGTTGGGTGTGGTCAGTAGGTCTGGTGAGGGGAAGGTCGTATCAGCTGAAGGTCTTGTGATGGGTCATGTCAGGTGAGATTCTTGTCATGGGTTAGATAAGGATCATCTCAGCTGAAGGTCTTGTGAGGTGGTCTTGTGATGGGTCTTGTGGGGATCACATCAAGTGAGGGTCCTGTGATGGGTCTTGTGATAGATCAGGTATGGGTTGCTTCAAGTGAAGATCTTGTGATGGGTCTTGTGATGGGTCAGGTGTGGGTCACATCAGGTGAGAGTCTTGTGATGGGTCTTATGATGAGTCAGGTGTGGGTTATCTCACACAAGGGTCTTGTGATGGGTCAAGTGAGGGTCACCTCAGGTGAAGGTCTTGTGAGCGGTCTTGTCATAGATCTTGTCATTGGTCAGGTGAAGGTCACATCAGGTGAGGCTCTTGTTATGGGTCTTGTGAGGGAGTCTGGTCATGGGTCAGGTGAGGGTCACCTCAAGTGAGGGTCTTGTGAGGGGTCTTGTCATGGGTCAGGTCTGGGTCATGTCAGGTGAGCATCTTGTGATGGGTCTTGTGATAGGAACAAAGCTGGGTGATCCAGCGTTGTCTAGATTGGTCCAAGGTGGTTCGTGAAGCTTGAAGGCATCTAAAGATCTACAATCCTCCAATTCACAGATCATTCCAACTTCATCTCTTGGGTTGGGGAATTATTTATTTATTTATTTAATTTATTTATATGCCGCTCAATCCCAAAGGACTCAGGGCGGCGTACAAAATTAAAACAACACTGGAAGTTTTTAAGAAGAGACTGGACAGCCATTTGTCCGAAATGGTGTAGGGTTTCCTGCCCGAGCAGGGGGTTGGACTAGATGACCTCCAAGGTCCCTTCCAACTTTACTACTATTACTATTACTAAGAATAAGACAATAAAATAATTCAATCATACCGCAAGTCCGATCATGTCCCACCCCACCCCCCCGGGGACATCAGCCCCAGGCCTGCCGGAACAGGAGAGTTTTAATGGCTTTCTTAAAGGCCGGCAGGGTGGGAGTTGTTCGAACCTCGGGGGGAAGTTGATTCCACCACGTCGGAGCCACCACAGAAAAGGCCCTTCCCCGAGGGCCCGCCAGCCGACATTGTCTGGCCGACGGGACCTGAAGGAGGCCCAATCTACGGGACCTCACCGGTCTCTGGGAACTGTGCGGCAGTATGCAGTCCTGTAAGTAACCTGGCCTATGCCATGAAGGGCTTTAAAGGTGATAACCAACACCTTGAATTGCGTCCGGAGACCCACAGGAAGCCAGTGCAGCTCACGGAGGATAGGTCACACGTGGGCGTACCTTGGCCTTAATCTTTAGCCTCCCTGTTTTAGCAATATAAGTTCTGAGATAATGGGATCCAGTCCATCATCTCAAGCCCCATGGCAAGATATACCGCTACAATAAAAATTACTCATATTTCATTCCTAAATTGCACATTGCAGGAGGAGGTGTCGCCAGTTAGGTGATAAATTGTGGCTCACGTTTCAGACTGGGTGTGTGCTAGTCTGTGTGTATGTGGTGTGCTATGAGCTAATTACATTGTGCAAAAAGGGGGGGGAATTCAGAAGTTTTGAGAAACTGGAAAGCTTACAATAGTGCAAATGGGGCTGGGGGGCGGGGCTTAAATCCTTATGCTTTGAAATAATTTGTATTTGCTTTATCATCCCAAATTCCTGTTGGGATATTCCTGTGAGGATATTCAGCCCAGCAAACCAAGTCATCAATAGCTTATTTACAGATTACAGACGGGAGAAGGGCTAGACTGTCAAAAGAGAAAAATGTCTTTTCAAAAGCGATGCAGCTGATATTAAAAAACAAGAACAGCCCTGAAGGATTCCGTCAATATGTTTCTTTTCCTTGCTTTGGCAGGAAAACTGCTCAAGAAATTCATTCAGTGCTTATTTGCTGTCTCCTTGAATTAGAATATCAGAATAGAATATAGCTGGAAGGGACCCTGGAGGTCTTCTAGTCCAACCCCCTGCTCAAGCAGGAGTCCGTATATCCTTCCAGACAAGTGGCTGTCCAGTCTCTTCTTTTTTTTTTTATTGAAAAATTTTTAAAAACTTTTACAAAGACAGAAAAAAAAAACAATGACAACTACAATAAGACAAAAAAAAACAATACAACCCTCCCCCAACCCCTCCCAAATCACCCCCTCCCTCCCCCCCCCGAGCTTCCCAGAGCAGAATATAGGCTTAATTAAAAGAAGTTAACAAAATTATAAGATAATTACGAACAAAATATATATGAATAAAAAATTATAAACCTTAAAAAGAAAAAATATTTAAAAAAAAACAAAGAAAAGAAAAAAAAAGTAGAGTTTTTATACAAGTTATAAAAAAGCTAAATGGTATTTTTTTCATATCCAATTTAAATTGTATAAAATTTATCCATTTTTCCCATACAGCAAAAAATTTCTCTTGCGTTTGCTCTTTTAAGAAAGCCGAAATCTTTGCCATTTCCGCCAAATAAGATACTTTAAAAAACCACTCTTGCAAAGTAGGCAAAGATTCCTTCTTCCAATATTGACCTACTAGCAGCCTTGCGGCTGTAATCAAATTCAACATCAATATAACCTCCTTAGCATCACAATCAGTAACAATACCAAGCAAAAACAATTGTGGAGTAAATTTTACCCTCTTTCTAAAAATTCTCTGAATGTTCCACGTCCAGTCTCTTCTTAAAAACCTCCAGTGATGGAGCGCCCACGATTTCTGGAGGCAAGTCGTTCTCCTGATTGTTCTAACTGTCAAGAAATTTCTCCTTAGTTCTAGGTTGCTTCTCTCTTTGATAAGCTTCCATTTGTTGCTTCTTGTCCTGCCTTCTGGTGCTTTGGAGAATAGCTTGACTCCCTCTTCTTTGGGACAGCCCCTGAGATATTGGAAGACTGCTATCCTGTCCCCCCTCGTCCTTCTCTTCGTTAGAGTAGCTATACCTGGCTCCTGCAACCGTTCTTCATCTGTTTTAGTCTCCAGGCCTTGGATCATCTTAGTTGCTCTTCTCTGAACTTTTTCCAAAGTTTCAACATCTTTTTTTTTTTTTTTTTGTAATGTGGTGACCAAAATTGGCTGCAGTATTCCAGGGGTGGCCTTACTAAGGCTTTATAAAGCGGTGCTAATATTTCAGGTGATTTTCTATGCCTCTGTTTATACAACCCAGGATTGTGTTAGCTTTTTTGGCTGCTGCTGTACAACGCTGGCTCGTGTTTAAGTGATCGCCCACTAGGACTCCAAGGTCCCTCTCACAGTTGCTGTTTTTGAGGCAGGTCTCACCTAATCTGTACTTAATCCTTTGATTTTTCCTGCCTAAATGTAAAACTTTTGCTTTTCTCCACATTGGATTCCATGCTGTTGGATAGGGCCCTTTATTCAAGTCATTATTACAGCTATCACTGGAAGGTCCATGCAAAATTCTTGTCTTGTATGCCTCTGCGACCTCTACTATTCCAGGATGAGATTTATAATCTCAGTCTTCCCAGTCTGGAAGGGAACCGTCAGGATAAATGGCCTCTCTCCTTCAGGATTGTTTGCTGTTGTTTCTCTTACCCTTCTTCCAGAGATTATAGCCCGCATGAACATTTGGAGGGCAGCTAACTAAATCTAATTTTTGAAACAAGGTCATGTGTAGTTCATGAGTCTTGATGAACTAATATTTATTTCATGTCTGTCAAGAGGGCAAGATTGCCTTGTCTGCTGTGCAGGCGTGAAATTCCGTATCTCAAGGTCTACATTTAACTGGAAAGTTACGACAGTGCAAAATAAAGTTCCAAATTATAGAATCATACAGAGGGAGGGAGGGAGGGAGGGAGGGAGGGAGGGAGGAAGGAAGGAAGGAAGGAAGGAAGGAAGGAAGGAAGGAAGGAAGGAAGGAAGGAAGGAAGGAAGGAAGGAGCTTGGTGGTTTTTTTGCAGACATTTCATCATCCCACTGGGTAACAACATCAGTGCTAGAAGGAGGTAGGATTTGTGGAGAGGCGGAGGAGGAAGAGGAGGGAAGGAGGTAGAAGGGAGGAGGAAGAAGAGGAAGAGGGAGAGGGAGGAGAAAGAGGACTGTGGGGTCCTTGGTGCTCTCTGAGCTTGGTCATTTTCTTCTAGGCGTTTCATTACCCAACTAGGTAACACCTTCAGTGCTGAAGGGAGTGGGGTTTGCAATTTCTAGCACATGATGTTCCCTAGTTGGGTCATGAAACATCTGCAAGAAAACCACCAAGCTCAGAGAGCCCCAAGGACCCCACAGTTCAGCCCTGAGCTACGAATCTTTTCTTCCATCGGTGCAATCCCCACTGGATCAGAAGGCTGGCATGTCGACACCAGCCGTGCAAAAGCGTTTTTCACATTCTGCCTCCTGTCTTTTCTTCCTTTGGGCCACTCAGTGGACGGCAACTGGAATGCCTGGTCCAGCTGGAGCTCCTGTTCGACCTCCTGCTCCAATGGCACCCAGCAGCGGACACGGGAGTGCAACGGACCCTCGTACGGAGGGGCGGAATGCCAGGGACCCTGGGTGGAGTCCCGGGACTGCTTCCTTCGGCAATGCCCAGGTGGGTTGCATGGGGACCCCCTCCCAAGTGGAGAGCTTTGATGACCAGGGGTGGGGTGAGGAGGGTGGCTAAATACATTTAAGAGAGAGAGAGAGAGAGAGAGAAAGACAGACAGACAGATAGATAGATATGAAAGATAGATAAGATAGATAGGTAGATAGAAAGATAGATATGAAAGTTAGATAGATAGATAGATAGATAGATAGATAGATAGATAGATAGATAGATAGATAAATATGAAAGATAGAGATGAAAGATAGAGATGAAAGAGATGAAAGAGATGGATGGATAGATAGAGAGAGAGAGAGAGAGACAGACAGACAGATAGATATGAAAGATAGATAAGATAGATAGGTAGATAGAAAGATAGATATGAAAGTTAGATAGATAGATAGATAGAGATGAAAGATAGAGATGAAAGATAGAGATGAAAGAGATAGATAGATAGATAGATAGATAGATAGATAGATAGATAGATAGGGAGAGAGAGAGAGAGAGAGAGACAGACAGACAGATAGATAGATATGAAAGATAGATAAGATAGATAGGTAGATAGAAAGATAGATATGAAAGTTAGATAGATAGATAGATAAATAGATAGATAGATAGATAGATAGATAGATATGAAAGATAGAGATGAAAGATAGAGATGAAAGAGATAGATAGATAGATAGATAGATAGATAGATAGATAGATAGATAGATAGATAGGGAGAGAGAGAGAGAGAGACAGACAGACAGACAGACAGGATAAATATGAAAGAGAGATGAAAGAGAGATAGATACATAGATATGAATGATAGGTAAGTAGGTAGATAGATATGAAAGATAGATATGAAAGATAGATATAAAAGATAGATATGAAAGATACGAAAGATAGATATGAGAGATAGATAGATAGATGTAGGTAGGTAGGTAGGTAGGTAGATAGACAGACAGACAGAATAAGAGAGATAGAGAGATACATGTGGAAAGAAAGAGACACACAGAGTTGAGTTGTTCGGAGAACTGGCTGAACCCATGTTGCTTCCGGAAGTCCATTCTAGGCCTTGGAGGCCTGGAGGAGGTCTCCCAGGCCTAGAACGGCCCACCAGAAGTGTGTGGATATCACTTCCGGAAGTTCGTTCTAGTCCTCGGAGGCCTGGAGGAGGTCTCCCAGGCCTAGAACGGCCCACCAGAAGTGCATGGATGTCACTTCCAGAAGTCCATTCTAGGCCTCGGAGGCCTGGAGGAGGTCTCCCAGGCCTAGAACGGCCCACCAGAAGTGTGTGGGTGTCACTTCCAGAAGTCTGTTCTAGGCCTAGTGGAGGCCACCCAGGCCTAGAACGGCCCGCCGGAAGTGCATGGATTTCATTTCTGGAAATCCATTCTAGGCCTGGTGGAGGCCTTCCAGGCCTAGAACAGCCCACCGGAAGTGCATGGATGTCACTTCCGGAAATCCATTCTAGGTCTCAGAGGCCCAGGCCTGCATCTATGCAGAGAACCGGACGTTCAAGTATTTGAATCCCACCACTGGACGTAGGTACACTTTCTCATTGAGGCCAGGTTATTTTCTGCTCTTGTTCGACATAGAAATATAGCTGTGATGACCCAGAAGAATTGGAGGACTCAATGATCAGGAAAACAACATTTATGTTAGTCTGTTGTGTCTTTCAAACGTAAATTGGCCTGTGTTCTTTGAAAAGCCTTCCTCCCATTCAGAGACATCTCAGTCTAGCGCCACCTGGTGTCTACACTATATTAATGACACCCTCTTTTGGCCTTTGGGAAAATACAGGAAGACACATCACTTTGAAAGTTTCCCTTTCCCATAATATATCTTCTCTAAAAGCAGAAATTCCATGCTTCTGATAAACGGACAAACACTGACATTCCCTAAACTCCGCTGAAGAGATTACCCAGCCTGGTAACAAAAAAATTTGGAAACCAACCCAACAGCTTCACCCTTATCCTACCCCCAAGCTGCAGATATTCACCACTATCACAAATCTCTATCCACCATCTATATCTGTTTGTCTGTCTGTCTATCATCTATCTATCTGTCTACCTATCTACCTATCTACTGTCTTTGTGTCTGTCCATCTCTCTATCTGGCTGGCTGGCTGGCTAGCTGGCTGTCTGTCCATCTATCTATCTATCTGTCTGTCTGTCTGTCTATCATCTGTCTGTCTGTCTGTCTATCATCTATCTGTCTATCTATCTACCTGTCTTTGTGTCTGTTCATCTATCTATCTGTCTGGCTGGCTGGTTGGCTGGCTATCCATCTGTCTGTCTGTCTGTCCATCTATCTGTCTGTCTGTCTGTCTATCATCTGTCTATCATCTATCATCTGTCTATCTATCTTATCTGTCTATCTATCTATCTATCTATCTATCTATCTGTCATCTATCTATCTATCTATCTATCTATCTATCTATCTATCTATCTGACATGACTTCCCCATCACAAGAACTACAGACCACACGAAGCCGTAGACACAGAAGACCACCAACACTGACAGCCCCTAAAGTCTCCGCTGAAGACTTTACCCAGCCTGGTAACAAAACATTCCAAAACCCACCCACCAGCTCAGAGAATGAACCTCCACCCTCATCCTACACCTGAGCTCCAGATATTCACCACTATTGCAAAGAAACAAACATGTAGCTGTGTGTCTGAGCTCACAAGTTAAGAATTGGTGACAACCTGCCTGGAAGATCTCCATGAAATACAAGGAATGTAGGTTAGCTTGGAAAGTTGAACCAGCACCCTGGAAGAAGAGGAGGAGGAGGAGGAGGAGGAGGAGGAGGAGGAGGAGGAGGAGGAGGAGGAGGAGAAGAAGAAGAAGAAGAAGAAGAAGAAGAAGAAGAAGAAGAAGAAGAAGAAGAAGAAGAAGAAGAAAGGAGGAGGAGGGGGGAGGAGAAGGAGAAGAAGGAGGAGGAGGAGGAAGAGGAGAAGAAGAAGAAGAAGACAGGAGGAGGAGGAGGAGAAGGGGGAGGAGGGGGAGGAGAAGGAGAAGAAGGAGGAGGAGGAGGAAGAGGAGAAGAAGAAGAAGAAGAAGAAGAAGAAGAAGAAGAAGAAGAAGAAGAAGAAGAAGAAGAGGAAGAAGAAGAAGAAGAAGAAGAGAGGAGGAGGAGGGGGGAGGAGAAGGAGAAGAAGGAGGAGGAGGAGGAGGAGAAGAAGAAGAAGACAGGAGGAGGAGGAGGAGAAGGGGGAGGAGGGGGAGGAGAAGGAGAAGAAGGAGGAGGAGGAGGAGGAGGAGGAGGAGGAGGAGGAGGAGGAGAAGAAGAAGAAGAAGAAGAAGAAGAAGAAGAAGACAGGAGGAGGAGGAGGAGAAGGGGGAGGAGGGGGAGGAGAAGGAGAAGAAGGAGGAGGAGGAGGAAGAGGAGGAAAAGAAGAAGAAGAAGAAGAAGAAGAAGAAGAAGAAGAAGAAGAAGAGAATGTGAAATCAGGAGATGAAGGTATCCATCAGATCCCCAGAGTTTATTTTAATTTATTGAATTATTTCCCCCATTTTCAAACCACGCCTCTCCCTTGCAGAAGGACTCCTCTGAGCTCAACTCAAACGAATAAAGGTAGTCCTTGAGTTACAACCACAATCCAAAATTTCTGCTGCTAAGCGAGACATTTGTTAAGTGAGTTTTGCCCTATTTTGCAACCTCCCCTGCCAACGGTTCTTAAGTGAATCACTGCAGGTGTTAAGTTAGTAAGAATACCAGAACCGCTGTAGTAACAGAATCTTGCAAACCCGAACGTGCTTCCCCCTCCCTCACTTTCAATCAATCAATCAATCAATCAATCAATCAATCAATCAATCAGAATAGGGCTGGAAGGGACCTTGGAGGTCTTCTAGTCCAACCCCCTGCTCAAGCAGGAGAAACCTATACCATTTTACACAGTGCTTAAATGAACCTGGCTTCCCCATTAACTTGGTTTGTTTGACGGTCACAAAAGGGGATCACGTGACCCCAGGACACTGCAACTCTCGTGAGTCTGAACTTTGATTGTGTGACCACGAGGATGCTCATGGTTGTAAGTGTGCCAAAAGGATCAAAAAGTCACCTTTTCAGCACCGTTGTAACTTTGAATGGTCACTAAATGTACTGCTGTCAATTGAGGACTACCTATAGGGCATGTAAGTATTGATGGAGATTCTCAGTCATCCAGGTTCATCCCAGAAGTCCTTGAGGGAAGAACGGAAGAAGCTCCTTGAATGAGAAGGGAAACGTTTTCAAAAAGAGGAAAAGCAAGAGAGTCCAGTTGCCTTTTTTTTTAAACACACACACACACACACAAGCATGCACTTTTGGCATTGACTTGAAGCCCAATATATAAGCTGTACACATTGGGGATGTAGGCCTGGTGTTCTTTCTGCCTTCTTTGTCTGTAGGAAGGTCACAACTACACTTCTATCCTTTTTCTCCTTCCGCTGCAGTGGACGGAAAATGGCAGGTCTGGGGTCCTTGGGGAAGCTGTACGGCCACCTGTGGAGGGGGGACCCAGAAACGGGACCGGGTGTGCTATGGTCCTTTCTTCGGAGGAGACCCATGTCAAGGTCCCAAAGAGGAGTTCAAGCAATGCAATGAACGGAGATGTCCAGGTAAGTGGACGATGAGGATGATATGATCTCTTCAGTTGTCTCCAACTCTTGATGATTCTGTGGGCCAGGTCTCTTCATTATTCTATTCTATTCTATTCTATTCTATTCTATTCTATTCTATTCTATTCCATTCCATTCCATTCCATTCCATTCCATTCCATGCTATGCTATTCTATTCTACTCTTCTTCATTATTCTATTCTATTCTATTCTATTCCATTCTATTCTATTCTATTCTATTCTACTCGTCTTCTTTATTCTATTCTATTCTATTCTATTCTATTCTATTCTATTCCATTCCTCCATTCTATTCCATTCCGTATTTTCTATTCTATTCTATTCTATTCTATTCTATTCTATTCTATTCTATTCCATTCCATTCCATTCCATATTTTCTATTCTATTCATTATTCTATTCTATTCTATTCTATTCTATTCTATTCTATTCTATTCTATTCTATTCTATTCTATTCCATTCCATTCCCATTCCATTCTATTCTATTCTATTCTATTCTATTCTATTCTATTCTCCATTCCATTCCATTCCATTCCATTCTATTCTATTCTATTCTATTCTATTCCATTCCATTCCATTCCATTCCATTCCATTCCATTCCTATTCCATTCCATTCCATTCCATTATATTCTTCCTATTCTATTCATTCCATTTTCCATTCCATTCCATTCCATTTCCATTCTATTCTATTCTATTCTATTCTATTCTATTCTATTCTATTCCATTCCATTCCATTCCATTCTATTCCATTCCATTCCATTCCATGCTATGCTATTCTATTCTACATTATTCTATTCTATTCTATTCTATTCTATTCTACTCGTCTTCATTATTCTATTCTATTCTATTCTATTCTATTCTATTCTATTCTATTCTATTCTATTCTATTCTATTCTATTCTATTCTATTCCATTCCATTCCATTCCATTCCATATTTTCTATTCTATTGTATTCTATTGTATTCTATTGTATTCTATTGTATTGTATTGTATTGTATTCTATTCTATTCTATTCTATTCCATTCCATTCTATTCCATTCCATTCCATTCCATTCCATTCCTCCATTCCATTCCATTCCGTATTTTCTATTCTGTTCTGTTCTATTCTATTCTATTCTATTCTACTCGTCTTCATTTTCTATTCCATTCCATTCCATTCCATTCCATTCCATTCCATTCTATTCTACTCGTCTTCATTTTCCATTCCATTGCATTCCATTCTATTCTATTCTATTCTGTTCTGTTCTGTTCTGTTCTATTCTATTTTATTGTACTCTTTTTTCATTATTCTATTCTATTCTATTCTATTCTATTCTATTCTATTCTATTCTATTCTATTCTATTCTATTCTACTCTTCTTCATTATTCTATTCTATTCTATTCTATTCTATTCTATTCTATTCTATTCTAGTTGCAGGAACTGGGTATGTCTAGTCTAATGAAGAAAAGAACTAGGGGTGACACGATAGCAGTCTTTCAATGCCCGAGGGGCTGCCCCAGAGAATAGGGGGCTGTTGACCTATTCTCAAAATAGGGCAGGACAAGAACTTATGGATGGAAACGAATCAAGGAGAGAAATTTCCTAACGGTGAGAGCAATCAACCAGTAGAACAGCCTGCCTTTAGAAGTCGTGGGTGCTCCATCACTGGAGGTTTTTAAGAAGAGATTGGACGCCCACTTGTCTGAAATGGAACAGGGTCTCCCGTTTGAGCACGGGGTTGGACTAGAAGACCTCCAAAGTCCCTTCCAACCCATTTATGCTACGTTCTATTTGGTGGGGATGCTTCAGTTGAGATTCCTTTACTGAGCAGGGAATAGATTTGGGGCCCCATGTAAAGCCTTCCACCCTTGGGAGCCAAAAAGGAAGACGCTCCTCTGAAACTGCATTGCTGGAATAGACGACGAAATGGACCTATGGAGGTTTCACAGAGAAACACTGCTAGTTCTGATAAGTGTCTGCGGGGGAGTTTGAATTGATAATAATAATTCAATTCTAAATGTTGCCTTTTTGGCACCAGGCTCCAAGTGATATATTTTAGAGTCTTCTGGGAAGAAAAAATTAAATTTGTCTTCCTGGAAGCTACTCAGAGCTGTCGTAGTTGTACCACTCTGATCTCTCTCTCTTTCTCTCTCTCGATCTCTCTCTTTCTCTCTCTCTCTCTTCACTTTCTCATTTCTCTCTCCCCTTCTCTCTCTCTCTCTTTCATTTTCTCTCCCTTTCTTTCTCTCTTTCCCAGTCCCTCTCTCTTTCTCTGTATTTCTCTCATCTCTTTTTTCTCCTTTCTTTTTTCTCTTCCATTTTAATCTCTTCTTTTTCTCTTTTTTCACTCTTTCATTTTCTGCCCTTTTTTCTCTCCTATTCTCTTTCTCTCTCATTCTTTCTTCTCTTTTCTTTTTTCCCCATCTCTCTCTCTCCTCTCTCTTTGTCTCTCTCATTTTCTCTACCTTTCTTTCCCTCTTTCCCTCTCCCTCTCTCTTTCTCTTCTTCTTTCTTTGTCTCTCTCATCTCTTTCTCATTCTTCTGTTGTCTCTTCCATTCTCTCTCGTACTCTTTTCTTTCTCTTCTCTCTCTCTTTCTCTCTCTGTGTCTCTCCTTTTTTCTCTCCCTTTCTTTCTCTCTTTCCTTCTCCCTCTCTTAGTCTCTTCCTCTCGCTATCTCTCTTATCTCTCTTTCTAATTTTTCTCTTCTATTCTCTCTTACTCTCTTCTCTTACCTTTCTTTCTTTCTTTCTTTCTCTCTCTCTCCTCCTCCTCCTCCTTCTTCTTCTTTTCCTCCTCCTTGTCCTCCTCCTCCTCCTCTTCTTCTTCTTCTCCTCCTCCTTCCTCCTCCGCTTCTTCTTCTTTTTCTTCTCCTCCTCCTTCCTCCTCCTCCTCCTCCTCCTCCTCCTCCTCCTCCTCCTCCTCCTCCTCCTCCTCCTCCTCCTCCTCCTCCTCTTCTTCTTCTTCTTCTTCTTTCTTCTTCTTCTTCTTCTTCTTCTTCTTCTTCTTCTTCTTCTTCTTCTTCTTCTTCTTCTTCTTCTTCTTCTTCTTCTTCTTCTTCTTCTTCTTCCTCTTCTTCCTCCTCCCCCCACTCTTCTCAAACTACCAATAACTTTTTGCATCCGGAAAGGATACTGCTTATGGTTGCTTGCTAAAACAACCCATCTACAGCTTTGAAAAATGAGGTGCCCCTTTGTTATTTCCAAATGAACACCATTGCACGCTAATGAAAAAGAAATGCACCTGATCAAAACTATAATCCCAACCAGCTTTTTAAAAAAAAATAACTAGCAGATCTTGCTTAACCTCCTGGCCCAATTGCTTTGGGAGGTTGTTGGTCCTCACCACTTAGGGTCATCCTGATCTCCAGGGGGATGCTGTTCCACAGAGCAGAAACTGTGTGATGGAACATGGTAAGGAGATGGATTCCCAGGCAGGTGAATTCAAGAGGCAACTCAGCTCAGATATCGTGTGTGAGAGAAAGAGGGCGAAGACATCCCCTCCCTAACAGTTCCCAGAATATATTATAGATGAAGAGAGTAGAGTGTTCACTCTGGCAAGATTCTGTCTATGGGTGTGAAACAATAAGGAACTCAACTTGGAAGAATCCCCATGTGTCATTCTTTTGGGGGGGGGGGCTGACACAGCAAAGGCATGACTCCTGGGTCCAATGAGGTGACATTATTCGATGGAAAGGAGTTGGAACGTGTCCTCCTTGCTAGATCTGGTGGGACAAGCAGAGACAACACAGAACAGTCCTGGGAATCTTGTGGGAGCTTGAATAACCAGCACCTTGGATGACCCTCGGATGCTCACTGACAGCCAGTGCAGCTCTCTGAGCAACGGTTTTTATATGACTGTAATAATAATAATGAAAAATCTTTAAAAATATCTGCAGTGTTGCGTTCTGGTCCAGCTACAGCTTCCAAATTATCTTGAAGATTAACAGCATGCAGAGCACATTACAGCAATCCAAATGGAAGGTGACTAATGCATGAGTCACCAAGAAGAAGATCTTCTGGACTAAGAACAGGCGCTGTGGGTAGCCAAGGCAGACCTGTTCAAGGCCACAGTTGCACTCTGCGGTCAAGAGATCTCTGTGTCCGGGCCCACTTCAAAACCTCATCCTAAGAAAGCAGAACTTGTGGAGGCCGTTTCTTCCAAAAGGAACTTTTATTAGGAGAAGCTGACTGCAGGCATAACAGACAGGATCTGAGGGTTTTCCCACTCAGATCGATAGGTTAAAGGAGTCCCAAGTGTGCTGGTCAGAGTATATAGCTATCTTAGGAATTAAGAACTGGCCCCTTAAGGGAAAGCCTTCTGGGTAATGTAGTTTAAGTTGCCTGGTCATATCTGTGTTCGGACTGGCCACTGGGAGGGACTTCTCATTGTTACCGGATTTCCTGGCTATGTGCAGGCCAGCAAGGTCTTTATGAATTCCAGCCACGAGAACTGTTTGCTTCATTAGCATGGAAGAAACTATCTCTATTTACCTATATGTTGGGATACAGATTATGCAAATTATGTCAGAAGAATCCCTACACCAACTGTTTAGAGGATGCCTGACGAATTAAAGTAATCTACATGAACCCTTTCCGTGGAGTTAATTTGTCTGTATTAAGTAATAGCCAGTTCCCTTTGCTTGTAACAGACCAAGCAAACCCTACCCCAATAGTTCAGGCAGGAGAAGAAGCAATGGATGGAAACTAACCAAGGAGAGAAGCAACCTAGAACTAAGGAGAAACTTCCTGACAGTGAAAACAATTAACCAGTGGAACAACCTGCCTCCAGAAGTGGTGAATGCTCCAACACTGGACGTTTTTTAGAAGAGACTGGACAGCCATTTGTCTGAAATGTTATAGGGTTTCCTGCCTGAGCAGGGGATTGGACTAGATGACCTCCAAGGTCCCTTCCAACTTTATTATTATTATTATGGATCATCACACAGTCAGCCAGATGTTCAGACTGGATTTGGTATTTTGTCTACCTATCGAGTCCTTATCCAGG